GGGGTGTAATGGAGACATCCCAGTATGTGTACATGGCTGTAGGCCAGTACTCTGGAGTGACAGATCAGGACCTGGGTTTCATAGATCTGAGCAACAAAACACTCAGCAACTGCCAGGAATGTCTACTCAGGGGTCTAGACTGAAAGTAACACCAGACACCATTTGTTGTGTGGCATTCTAGATTCTCTTCCAAGCAGGCCATGTGTATCCAACCACCAGCAGGAATGAATTTCCAAGAAGGCAGGTCAGGCAAATTCATCCCTGCGGTGTCCAGAGGCCACTGTCAAGAACAACATCCCTGAAGAGAACTGAGGAAGGAACAGGGAGAGCTCAGCAACATTAGGTTCTGGGAAGACCTAGAGGGGCTGAGACATTGAGAAACGCTAAGGAAGGTGATGGAGAGTAAGGACTCACTGTCGAAGTTCTGCCTTCACAGCACTGGATACTCGGGGGTAGCAGACCGAGAAGAGGCCGCAGGCCGAGGTGCGGGAGGTGAACCAGTCTCCACCCGCCAGCCGCTTCACCAGAGGCACAAAATGAGCCTCTAGGTCGGAAGGTGAATGCTCATGTGAGATGGCCCGTAAGGATTCTACCGCCTTGTCTCGTACGACTGTCTCCTCCACTGTGGCCAGTGACTCAAGGGGTGGCTGTGATGAGAACACAAGGTTAGAAAACAGTGTTTTCTCTATTGTCACAGCTATGGAGCCCTACCTCATGGCCTGATTTAATGAGACTCCTCTGATCTCTCCACCCCATCCTTCATTAAAAGTGTCCCATGAGGACTCCTAAAGGAACTTCATTGGGTCAATGAACCAATTGTCAAGGAGGCCTTGTGTGTGTAGCTCTCCATGTATATTAATCATTGCTGTTGCTGGCTCCAGCACCCATGTACTAGGTTTTAGACCATGCCATTGTACTGCTGACATATTTGTCACTCCTTTCTATGAGTCTTGTGAAACAGTCTTTGATACTGTCCTCATTAATCAAAGAGCAGGAATCTGAAGCACACAGGCTATGTAATTTGCCTAAGCTACTATCAGCTACAAGCCAAGATCTAAAAGACCTTTTGGCTCTCCTTCCTTACACAACAGGTCCCGGCAGTATCAAATCCTCTGTATTTTCAGCTGTCATCCAAAAGAGATACACAGACAGATGGTATGGTAAGGTAAGGCCTGGTACACTCAAGCAAACAATCTTGAAAATCCAGCTCTGCCACTTACTAGCTAGGAGTCTGACAGGATGGCTCAACATCCTGGTATTCTTTATTGATTCGTGTATAAGGTATACCTTCCTACCCAACCATGAAAACCGCAGCATCTAACTGTGAGTACTTACTACACGCCAAGTGCTATGTGAGGGAATCTAAGTCATTTATCAGGGTGGGCTTCGGGGACCTCCAATTGACCAGGGCAGTTAGAAAGGTTAGCACTCTTAAAAGGCCTATCAGTATGTGGCAGAAACCTGCCTGACCCCAAACCCACAACCCTACAAGTGGGTTGCCCGCTGGTCCTAGTGTGGGTAAGGATACAGAATGAATGGTAACTGGAGATTAAATGTCACTAATGACTTGACATAAGTGACACCAAAAGGCCATCCATTCTAGAATGATCTCCAGCCTCCCTAATCCCTCTCCTTCTTGGTTCCCATGACCCATAGGCAGAACCACAGTTTTGACCCCAAGGTAGAGAAAAGGATTAGGGGACCTCCCAGCTTTCACTCACCAGCAGGCAGTGCACATACTCAGGTCCTCCCACCAAAGTGGTGAAGGTTCCCAGTTGTTCAGCCAAGGCCAAGAGGACTTCATCTTCATCATAGATAGTGTCTGTGGGACAAGGACCAAGTCCATCAAACACTCAAGCTGAACCAAGCTTCAAACAAGCAAACAGCCCTGTGCCTCCTCAATGTCAGCATCCCTATCCCCCTGCCTGCCACTCCTCATCCGCTACCTGACAAGCAGAATGAGCCCAGGTCCCACAACTGCCTTTTCTGTGCTAGGTAGGGGGTGGTAGCAGAGTGGCCCACTACTAAGCCTCAGTTCTGGCGCACTCTCAATGGGGACAAACACAATCGTGTATACAGCCCAGGACAGTCAATGGAATTTCTGGTTGTGTCTAGTTTAAACACGCAGCACCGCTTTCAGGAACTCCTAAGTCTTCAGCCAAGAAATTCTTTTCTTCCTTTTTGGGCTTGGTTCAGCCACTGTTGATTGCTTGTAGAATTTCCAACAAGCGGCTAGACTAAGTCCGATCCTTTGCCGCCGGAACTCATTCTCTCCCCTTCTACTTTTACCAAGCATGAGATCAGAAGCCATAATCACTTGCGGCCAAGACTAGCTTTGGTGTGCTCCAGTTCCTGCCAGAGTCAGAGTAGCATGTTTGGAAATCGGTCTGTTAAAAGAATAAGCAGCCAAGCGACAGGGAAACTACCTGTGCCTCTCTCAGGTTCTGCTTCTCCTGAAGGAAATGCTGGCTGCTCCCACAATGTGCAGTCACTGGCTGTTCACCAGCGCTTTAACGTTCTTTCACCTTGGATTTGCCATGAGGAAGGCAGCAGAGGAGCCTCAGGAGAAACCTAGGCCAGTGCTATTGACACCTCGACCTCACAGTTCCAGATTTTAGAACTGCAAAAACACAGCTGTTCAAGACGCCCAGTCTGAGGCCTTTGTCCTAGTAAACTAATAGTTCTGTAATTTTCCCTCACAAAAAGAAAAGCTGAATGTTCTTTAGATATGAGCTTACAGGCCTTTAGCTTGTACTTGCTGAAGCACTACCAGTGTCTTGTACGTGTGTCTGCTGCTTCCTGTTCTGAACACTTTCTGAGCCCAGAGCAGAAGAAATCTGACATTACTTAGATTTCCAACAGCTCAAAAATAAATCTGTCTGAATCACAGTTCCTTTTCAGTCTCCAGCACACTCAGGCTCCCACAGTTCTTCCCATCTGGATTATTAAAATGCCACATGCAATTTTCAAATAATACATCTGAGTAGCATTTTCCTACTAGCTTAGTGAATTGTCATGATCCCATTATGTGATTCCTGACTCTGCAGAGGAAGGAAAACAGCAAGGCAGAACTGAACCCTGACCATCTGACTACAGGGCCTCTGTTCTCAGATATTACCTTGCTAGCAGGCTGCGACCTCTGTGCCTCCCCTCACACACCCTCTATATATCCACACAGTGGTCCCAAATCTCACTCACTTTGTACTCTAGCAGCTAACCACAACGGCACCTTGCCCATCAACAGGATTAAACCTCAGAGGCTCCATACAGTACAGAAAGTCGGCTAAGGCAGCCCATTATAACCTAGGTGGTTCTCCCGGTGCCCCTAATCCTGATGGTCTTCCTACCTCACCTCTATTTACTAGTCATACACATTGGTTATTTTCATTAATTGCCCAGTTCCCTCCTCACACAATCACCTACATACAACTAAACTCTTCTTAGAACAGCTTTCAACTAAAGAGCAGAGCCCAAGAGGTGGAGGGCATTCCCAGGATCTCGGCAGATTTATGCCACAGCAGCTTGTTTTAAAACCCAGGGATCTTTGGCTTCTCGCCTGCACCATTATTCATGTAACTGTTCTTCATGTCATTTTGCTGCCAAGAGCAGCCTCTGTCTCAGCATCCTAAACCTTAGGGTATCTCTGATTGCCAAAGGAAGACCCCTGGCTTGGGACCATCTTCTCATACCAGATGCAGAAAACTACTCTGCAGGCTGTGTTTACAGTCACACCTTCACACTCCATCATTAGTCATGCCACTGTGGCAGGGCACCGAACCCCAACAGGCCACAGCTACCCATGTGTCAAACAGGGGAGGGCCAAAAGGCTGGGCCTTCTACTTCTCCTAGGTCATCCACAGGAAATGATCCAACACAAATCACTCTGTCACTAAGAGAGCACGGAAAACCTTTAGTTCCAATTCTGACTAGAGGGGACTACAGTAGGGGAAAAATGAGAATAGCGACAGCAGGGATTTAGTGTGGTGGCCCACACTGTGCCAGCCATTGTACAGAGAACTTGATGCACACCTGCAGACCGTAGACTTGGCAAAAGCTAAGAGAGCCCCACTTAATACATCCCTGGCCCAGTCACTGGCTCCTCACAGGAGCCTTAGTCTTCATTTAGGTTACAGCATCATGCCTATCTTATCCACAAACCCTCTGACCAGGCAGATGTGACATCAGATCCCAACTCTTCACAATTAGTTAATACTGCTCACTACAGAGCCTAAATATAAAATCCCTTTGGTCACCTCCAGACAGAAAAATTCCAGGGAAATGAGTTACTTCATCTTTTTGTGCCTCATTTTCTTCATGTCCAAATCAGTAACAGTAGCATTCCTTGCTTTAAGGTGTTGCTATGAGACTGAGATGAATGACCATGGAGATGTAAATTTAAGAACATATGTACTCTCATAAGCACTCTGTGAGCTAAGAGTTAACTCAAAATCACAAGAGTCCAGTGGTCAGCTGGCATGCAACTATGTAATAAGTATTAATGATTAATGCTCTTTAATGCCCAAATCAATAATGTAGTACGAAGATTATCTTCATTTTAGAGACAAAAAAAAAAATCTAAGAAACTTGTCTAAAGTCAATGCTAACAGTTGAAGCTGTGATTTAAACTAGGTTCTGCTGTTCCATTGTTCCATATCATTTTCTCAGAGAATCACACTTAGGCTCCTCTGGAATACTGCCCCTGACACTGTGGTATAGGGAAGACATTTAATTTATTAATCTACTTTTCACTCATTAGTAAGAACTCATGTGTCCTCACCACATCTGGGCCCCAGAAATCCTTACCTGTAAGGAAGGGCAGGAGCTCACTTCTGGTCCGTTCAACCCCAAGGGCCAAGGCGATGGTGGAGAGTTTCTTGATACTATTGAGGCGAAGCTAATGAAAGGACAAGCAAAGGAAGAGAGAACATTAGAAATTTTGGACCCACAGGAGTCCCAAAGCTCTGAAACAATTAGGTCAATCCCCAGACTGACCCACTGCTATTCATGAAGATTCTCAATGATCAATAGTAACAGCAAAATACAACCAAGCAATTCTGTGTTTCTGAAAAAAATATTTACTAACAGCAATAGTAGCAATGGAAGCCAGAACCTCTCCCAGGTCTTTCCAAGTTTAGTCTAAAGCTGAACTCCATTTCTACCCCTGCTCCTCACATTACTACAAAGAACACTTGGAAGGTGGTAGCAGAAGGAAGCAGGAGGATCAGAAGTTCAAGGTCATTCTTGACTACCTAACAAGTTCCAGGCCAGCCTTAGCTGCAACAACAAACAAATAACCCAGGACTGCAAGAATTAACAATATAACAGTACCTTAAGAATGAAGTAGTTGGGCACAGTGGTACACCCCTGTGACCCCAATATGCAGAAAGTTATGGCAGGAAGATCTTGAGTTTGAGACCAGCAAGACCACATCAAAAACACCTTACTGATGTTCCCATAAGCCACCCTGATTAAGATGATTGTACGCAGAAGGAGGACTATGGGAAGAAGGGACTAAGAGGGAATGTCAGGGTATAGAGAGCAGTATGATCAAAGTGCATCATGTAGATGCAGAAGAATGTCATAATGAAACCATCCTTAGGTACATAAATATATGCTAAAAAAATCCAAAAACAAAAAAGCAAGACAAGCATTAACAGTGCTAATACCTCTAGTTCCATGGGGATGACCCACAACATGAAGGTGTATTTGCCGTCTCCATGTAAGCATGTGTTTTTTCCTTATTGTTTTTGGCTTGCAACTTCACCCTCACATAGGTCATAACAGTCAGAATGTCTCTTACCCAAGGCCAGTCACAGAAAGCCTCATCTTCCTGTATTCCTGTACTACAGTAGCAATAAAGGATTTATCCTGATTGTCAACTAAAAATACCATTTCAGAATGGGTCCTGTCCCATACCCAAGAAGGAGTATTGCAGAGGCCAGGAAGAATGATGAAAACTTTCTAGGTTTTCCTCATCCAGTCAATTATCAAATAAGGTATGTGGGAAACCTGATTTACAGGCAGCTGATAAAAAAGTGCAGGTAAAAAAGACCTGGGACTTACAACTGGCATCTGAAGTTTGGGAGACCTCAACTGTGGAATATGACACTCTCCAAGTAGACAGCATATCAACTGAACTAGGTTACAGAAACACTGGCCGAAAAACTGAACGCTTGTTTGCTAGCAGGGAAATCATGCACCATTTAGGACCATGGAACTGTCTTGACTGTGGTGTGAAAGCACAGAAAAAGCAAGCAGTTCTGTTCTTCCAACACACACCATGTGGGAGACACAAACCAGCCCTAATCCCTTGTACTTGTGAATGTGAAGGAGCATCTCTGTTAGTATTATGTTTCATCTTAAGGTGAAACCATCCTCAATACAGAGTTGATCCTAGACTCTGTGAGTATCCTTATAGCAACAGAAATGGAGAAGACATATTTACAGAAGGCAGGGTCATATAAAGATGTAGGAAGATGCTGGGGAGGCATATTCACAAGGTCAAGAACACCAAGAATTGCCAACAGCTCCCTGAAGTTAAGAGAGATGAAACAGACTTCCCTTGGAACCTCAGAGGGACCAGTGACTTAAGATTTTTGGTCTGCACGATTTTTAGAAGATACATTTATGGTTTTAATCCAATCCTGTTTGTGGTAATTTATTACATCAGCCTTAACAAATGACTGTCTCTGGCTAACACCCTAGGGAAGAACATGTGTGACCATGCCTCTCTACTCCACAGAAAGTGAGGCTCAGAAAAGGAAACACTTGCCTAGACCAGCCCTGAGAGATGAACATGACAGCAGCATCCCTGTCTGTTTCTTCCTCTACAGGGTGCTTTTGTCTACCCAGGTCCAGAGCTGTCCCAAAACAGAAAAGGTAACATTTGAAGAAGGCAATGCTTGAGGGATTACAAACCTTTCATTACCCCAGGGGAACACTCTTCCTGGAAGGAAAAAGAGAACAGAGGAAGCTGAGGGAGAACAGGGGAGTCTGCTCTCTTTTCAGGCTCCACACAACTGGAAATAGGTCTTCAAATTACTGTGATCCTGAACAAGTATGGTTCTCACCTCGGGACTTAAAGGACTCTGGGCTCACAGACTATGCTGAGGGTCTGAAAAATGCTATGATGAAAACTGTCTGAGGATAGCAGTACAAGCCTGTATCTCCAGCACTCGGGAGGCTATGGTAGGAACACCATGTGTTCCAGATCAGCCTGGACTACAACGCAGCATCTTACCTCAAAAACACAAGAAAACAAACCACAGCAAAAACGTACACACCAAACTTTCTATTCAGTGTCACCACAGTAGCTTTGGGAGCAATGAAAGAACAAAGGAGGCCCCAAATCTCATTTGGGTGGTAAAAAGTCATCTACTATCAACCCCAAAACTTATTTTCAGCCAAACTATAAAATATGCAGCTCTATGGAAAGGTTAAAAAGCCAAATATTGCAAACACTAACAATCCCTAGATGCCAGCAGTAAGCCCACAGGTGCTTGTTTAGTACCCAGCAAAACCGTTCTTTAAACTACCAGTAAATGTTTCCAGTCTCACAGGCCAGTGTCTCTGAACCACTCAACTTGTACTCAGCACGACAGCAGCCACAGGAAGGAGACAATCTGCAAACAAACTGGCTCAGCTTGTATTCCAGCAAAACTTTACTTGCAAAAGCTGCCAGTGGCTGGATATGGTCCACAGCCTGTATTTTTGCTAAACCCTGTACTAGTTTTTCAACGCTCTTGCCTCAATTTTTAAAAATAAATCTTTATTTATCTATTTATATGTACACCGTGTTGCTGGGAATTGAACTCAGGACCCCTGGAAGAACAGCCACTGCTCTTAACCTCTGAGCCATCTCTCCAGCCCCTCTTGCCTCAATTTTTAAAGATGAAATTCTACTAGGATGGTTGTCTTAGCAGCCTGCCTCCTTTTCCCTTTGTGTTTAAGGTAGATGTTTGTGCTCCTATCCCAAATAGACTACGGGAATCGCATGGGTCAGAGCCACAACTGGTGAGCAGCAGCCCTAAGAACAACAGAGGGTATCAGGGAGCAACCACAATCACGTTCATAATCTTAACGCCAGTATTAATAGCACATAACATCTATAAATCAGCTCCCTGTTTGCTTAGCCAGTGTATTAACATACTCGGCACTGTGCTCTTAGGTCTTGTTCTAGAAACACCATTTTAAAAGGCAAAGAAGCTGATGCAGAAAAACAGGCACTTTTTGGAAAGCAATGAATCCCCAACCAGAACCTAAACACTCTATCTGTCCATACTGTCATTGAGAAAATATGCCTAGGAGTTGGGAGTCTGAATATGGCAGCCGTTCTTTCACTCTAATTTTGATTTTGTTAACTATGTCCATTGTTCTCTTCGGGAAGATGACACTGTGAATGCTGGAGAAAAGAGGCAGAAAGCTGTGTAGCCGTGTGGCCTGGATTCAAAGCTATGCTGCTAGCGCTGCTAGCTATCAGCTGCAAGACCTTAGGTCATCTTCACCCAGAGAGATGTATGACAGACTTCTGACCTCCAGAACCATAAATAAAACTTTATGCTGTTTTATACTGCTTAATTTATGGTAATCTGTTACAGAAGCATTACAAAACTGACACACTGACCTACGCTAACCAACTTCCTTATTGTCTGTGTGTACACTTCATTCAACAGCTTCCCTCAACCTTAGCACTAATGTCGTTTTAAATGGGTCTCTTCCCTCCCATGAGGGACGGTCTATACACTGCAACCATGTATAAAAGCATTCCTGACTTCTACCCAGCAACAATTTCCCAGTTATGACAACCAAAACATCTCTAGACATTGCTAAACATCCCTGGTGGCAAAAATTGTTTCAAGCTAGGAACTACAGTTATTACATAGATATACTCCTGCTTTCTGTAAGCCTCTTCCCCAACTTCTCATACTGTATCCTGGAAGGAGTCTCTCCACTGGCCCAACTCCTCATCCAACTATTTAGTTGTTATGTACTCTGCCCTTACAGTTCCTTCTTGACAAGCAGGTATTGGCTCAAACTTCAACTTTTTGACAAGGCTTCCCCACATTAATAAAGTACCCTACCTTCCTTATTTTTCTCTTTGCTGTTCTTCACAGTCAACACAATATGTATTATCTGTCACCCTTCACTACAAGGTAAATTCTTCCAAAGCCAGTTTTTTTTCTTCTTTTTCCCACTGTATACAAGCATCTAGAGCACTGCTGAGAACACAGGCCCAACAAACAGCTGCTGATTCATTAGCCCAACATTGACAGGTCTCAATCACTTCTTACAGGTGGTAGTATATTTAGTTCTGTTTGACTGCTTCACACCTAGCTTCCTACACAGCAACCAGCCAGTTTCTTTGTTGATACAGAGTGTCACTACGTGGTCTAGGCTAGCCTTGAACCTGCCTCTGCCTCCTGAGTGCGGAGATCACAGGCAGGCACCACCATACCTGGCTTTGGTCTCTTTTCTGTCCCCAACAACATTCCTGATAACTGCACGTGTTTACTGAACACATAAATTCACAGAGTATCCCTATAACCAGGTAATTATTTCTATTTAACAGAGAAGAAACACCGATTGCTTGAGTCAATCAGCAAGAAGCCCAAGGACCAGGAATACAATTCCAGTCTATCGGGCATCAGAACCAGAATCATACACATAAGACTTAGAAGCTGGGCTAGCCTCAGGTTACCTAGTGCACCACAAACAATTCCATACAAAAGGACAAACAGAGGGTCCACAGAGCATGGTACCACAATAGCCACTCCCCCAAAATAACAGCTAACATTTATGAGGCCTTTACAAGCAGCCAGTTCTATTTTACTACATTTCCTCAGCCACTGGGGTAAGCCAGGACTATTATTAGCCGGTATTTTGTAGAAAACAGAAGCCAGGGGCCATGAAATAAAGTGCACACAAGGTTATCCTCAGGTGAGACGATGCGGCCTTGAGGTCTGACCTCTTTCAAAACCACAGCAAACCGACTCAAAGGCCCTAGGTCACTCTTCTCTCTGAACCAGAACTATCAAATCGCTTGGCAGTCAGGCCTGGGAAGAGACCGGGGAGAGGTGGGTCTGTACACGTGACCCACCCCTGAATTAGGCTAGTTAAATCTCAGGGGAGGACACTTTCACATCCTCCTTCCTCCTCCTTCAGGAGAGCTATCCCAAATACCAGGCGAAGGCCCGAGAGGAATGGACGGATGTCCTGGTTTCAGTCCTTACTCGGCCCAGCTATATAAAAACACTAAAAGCAATGGGACTGTATCCTGGTCCTCAGCAGCCATGAGGGCTTCCCCTACTCTGCTGGTCACGCGCCCCCTTCTATCTCCCCCAGGGGGCCATTCTGAGTTCACCGCCAATCATCAGACTGGCAGGCGGCTCGTAGTCTCCCCAGCCCATCTCGGGCCGCCCAGGCACAGATCCCGGGCGGCCGCGCGCACTCAGAAGGGACCCTCGAGGCTTGCCCTCCGCTGGGGACAAGACCCAATCAGGAGCGCCATCTCATCGAATCTTGCCACTAGGAAAGATGAGACCTGGATTCTGATTGGTCACCGCTGCCTTCCGCCACTCCCGGAGAACCCCGAGCCATCTCTCCCGCATTCCGCGATCATCCCCTTCCCCGATCTTCCCAACACACTTTAACGGAAGGTCCCCCACACCTGAACGTCTTCATTGCGGAGTTCATCTATGAGCACCGCAATGGGGTAGAGTGAATCGTCCCCGTCGGCAGCTGCCATCTTGCCTCCCTGGCGTCTCTGTCAGGCTGCGGCCAGCGCCGGGCGGAATCCGGGATCGGGCGGGGCAATGCGCGGGGAAAGGACGCAAAGAGGGCGTGGGGGCTCCCGAGCCACGCTACAGGGGCTGTCCCGCCGCCATTGGCCGCACAAGGTCGCGTCTGTTTGGTCCGAACCTACCTAGGCCCGCCTACTTCCCATTCACCATTGGTTGGGCGAACCAGATTGGCTTTCCGCTGTAGTATCGGAAGCGGAAGTGGGGTATCTTAGCGACCAAGGTTGTTCCCGCCTACATCACCGCTAGCAACCACAGAAATGAGCAGGGTTTTGAGCCAATAAGGATCGAGGAGAGGAGGTAGCAAAGTGGCTCCGTGAGGCGGCGCAGAGGAGGCTTAAACCGTGTGTTGGGAGCGGTGGGTGACGTAAAGAAGGACAAGCCGGTCGGGTTGTACCTCTGTAGCGTTACACCGTCCCCTGTGAAGAAGGAACTCCTAAGAAGGGAGACTTGCCTTGGTCTCTTCTTCGACACTGGCCTGGGGCGGGTGACATAGGCCCACCTGCTTGCCCTCCTACTCTGGATCAGTCCTGGAGAACTAGAGTGGACAGGACGAGCCCTTATCCGGCCGAGGAGCTTCTAGGTAGCTAGTTAGAAATCAGCGAGGTGGAAGGTATTTTAGGTTGGACCTCTGTCTCACGAAGACCCTGTGACCCCCTTACAGACTAGTGTAAAGTATCATAATCATTTCTCCTTAGGATTGAAAAGTGAACGTATGAAAGGGAGGAAGGTGGAGATAGCAGGGTGGATGAAGGCTTATTAAGGAAAGAATGTCTTTTCTAAGCTACGCATGACTATTTTTGTACTTGCATTTTGTTTTTCTCTTCTCTCTCAGACCAGAGAGACAATTAAGGAAGAAAACACCCTCACAGAGAGTGGGCATTTATAATCAATGATGTGCATTTGGATCTGAATTGTATCTCTGGTCCTCGGTGCAGGCACAGAACTGGGGAGCCCAGGGAAGGCTATGTAGAGTTGCTCCTACCAGTGCCTTCTTGAAGTGCCATTCCACCTCATTTGAATGATCTCTATAGAAATCTCCCCCCTTTCCCGTTTCATCTACTTTGACTCATGACAATGTTTTCCAGTCTGATCTTGAACTGTCCTGGGTTAGACATTTTAGGAAATACTTGATTCCTTAACAATCACAAGATGAGGGTGAGTTGTGTTTGTTATAATTATGATCTACAAGGTTATAATTGATACTGGGCTTTTCAAGGGTTAATGTGAACATGCATTTTTAGAAGTTATGAGTTTTTATTGGTATTTCTAATCAATTTATGTAAATTGTGAGAATTCAAATAAAAACAGGTTTTTCACTTAGCAATATTTTAATTTTATATTTGTACTCCTTATGCCAAAATCCTTATTTTTTAGTGTGATATTATGAAATATCTGGGTTTGGGGACATATATGTCATAAATAATTATATATGATTGATGATTATATATTAGGATATTAATGCATTTAGAAACGTTACATGTTAAACAGTTATGCCATGACCAACACACCTGGGGTCATAGGAACCTGGAAAGAAGGGTAATGGAGATTGAGAAAAAAAACTCAGGGTTCACTTTGAGAATGATTCTTATTTTTCCCATTGCTCTTGAAATGTTGTATAGCTAGCACTTGGAGATTGCAAGCAGGGTTTGAGAAACAGTCTCTTTGGCTGTACTATCTGAATTCTTTCTTTTGCATTTCCTTGCCCTTGGCTTCTTTTGCCCCAGTGGACATTCCTCCTAGGCTTTATCTTGTGCCTGAAGTTTTTCAGTCAGGAGATCACATCTTGGTTAGGGTTCATACTTGAGAAAGGAACTACAGACCATCTGGACCCTACACAATTATATACAATATATAATAGAAATGTGTGTTATATACTTGTGGGTTCTGTATATTAGGATTAGGTAAAAAGTGTATGATTAGTAGTTTCAAGTTGTTAATAGAATTATTAGTCAACTTACAAGTTGTAGCTTAATTTGTTTATGTTTTGTTTTTGAGACAGTGTTTCAGAGTGTAGCTCTTGTTTACCGAGAACTCACTATGTAGAGAACATTGGATTTGAACTCACAGAAATATGCCTCTCAGGTGCTAGAACTAAAGCCACGTACCTTCACACCCAGCTATGTGATTATGGTTGTTCTTCTGTCCTTAGGAAAAGTCCCACTTAAGGGATGGGCCTGTAGCTCAGTGGCAGAATGCTTGCCTAGAATGCACAATGCCCTAGTTTCAACCCTCAGTACAAGAAGAAAAGAGTAAGGGAGAAAGAAAAAAAGAATGTTTCACTTTGTTTGGGTAGGCAAATATTTATTTTTATCTCTATTTATGTGTATGCATATGTTGCATGTGTGCAGGTGTTCATGGAGACCAGAAGAGGGCATCACATCTCCTGAAGCTGTAGTTAGAGGTAGCTGTGAGTGGCTTGATTTGCTGTTAAGTTAATTTCAGTTAAAAGCATCACATGCACTTAACTGCTGAGCAATTGCTCCAGCCTCACTATTTCTTCTTTTACTTTGCTTACTACACACAGAGCAAACTCATACATTTAAAAACAGCAATCACAGATCATTCTTCAGACAGGGCAGAATACTTGCGTATGAAATAGTTTCAGGTATGTGTATTTGATGTGATGAGAGGATGGATGGGAAAATTGGAGGACGGAGGTGTAGAGAAGAAGAATTGAGTTGCCTTGGGGTATATAATGGGACTTGCAGACAGTAGAATGTGGAGTATGGCTCTCCTCTTTTATCCTGTCCCACCAAGAGGAATCTGTACTGTTTTGTCACTGTGATGCAAACCTGGGACTCTCTGGAATGCTGCCTCGTCTGGCTGTTCCCTATAGCAGTTTAGCCAGGAGGGTTCCTCAGATATGAGAGAACTGATGGTTTGTTCCAAGGATACTAAATGCTAAGGACTGAGCTCATACTGTGGATATGTGGATACTATGATCTGTTTCTTCTGCTTGTTTTTGTGCCAGTTTCTCTCTGAGACAGGTTTCATGTATCCCAGCCTGGCTCAAACTTACTATGGAGTCAAGGCTGGACTTGAACTCCTGCTCTCCCTACCTCTACATCTAGGGCACTGAGATTACATGTGTGCATCACCGTACCCAATTTATATGGCACTGGGAATGGAACTCAGAGACTCATATATACAAGGCAAGCACTCTACCAACTAAACCACATGCCCTCAGCCCTTCAGTGCATTGTTCTCTATTTTTTCCTGTGTGGGATGGAGAATCTCTGTTTTCGCTGTCTGGAGGAGAATTTTGCTTTTTTAACCAAAAGTTCAGAAAATCAGAGATATAAGTAAGAGAACAGGACTCCGTGACAGTATAGATGATATTCCAATTCTGCAACTTGCTTCATCACATCAGAATAAAACATTCTAGGTTCAGACTTTCACGGAAATGTCAAGCATCACCCTATCATCCTTCTACAGAATAAGTAAGCGTGGGAAGGAAAGGGGAGGGGAGGGAGTGAGGAACATTCTTTTCTTCAAAACTTCCAGTTTCTATGTACATTGTAGGTGACTCCTAGAATGCTCAAGTTCCAGGGTTCAAAGCGCCACGTGAAAAATATAAAAAAGAAAAGAAAGGTCAGAGCCTGGCTTTCAGCTTCCTTCCTACTTTCCTCCCTCCCTTCCTTTTTTCTCTTCCTTTTTTTCATCTTTGTCACAGGAAAGGAGCAATGGATAAAAGCCAGTCGAGCTTGAGTATCAAAATAAGTCAGTCTTCGAGTTTTCTCCAGGAAAAGAGCATTAACCACTATAACCCTACACACACACACACACACACACACACACACACACACACACACACTGCAAATGAAAAATAGAGAAAAAACACAAACCTTCATTAGTGTAATGGGAGAAACCCAGTGTATCTATGAGTAATAATATCCCTGAATAAAAATATCCATGTAACAGTAATACCCATGAATAATAATAATCTGTGACTTGCTTAGGGAGAGGACACCTTTAATTATCTTCACCCATCAGTGAAATCGATTACAAAAGAACATCATTGGAAGGTAAAGACCATAGCTTAGGAATGTAGCTCAGTTGCTAGTGTGCTTGCCTAACATACATGAGACCCTAGTTAGCTCTCTGTTGCTGATAAGCCACTCCAGCCAAAACTAATATGGGGAGGAAAGGGTTTATTGTTTGCCTTACCAGTTATAGTTCACTACTGAGGGAAGCCAAGGCAGGAGCTTGAATCAGGAACCATGGAGGAGTGCTACTTATTGGCTTGTTTCTGCTTGCTACCTTTCTTATACAGCTCATGACCAACTGCACATGACGGCTCTGTTCACAGTGGACTGGGTCCTCACAAATCAATCAAGTCTCACTTGCCAGATAAATCTAAGTTTTTGTCAAGTTCACAAAAACTAACTATGAGACCTCAGCACCGTATAAAATTGAATGTGGTGTTGTACACTTTTAATCCCAGAGAGACATGATCAGAAGTTAAAGTTTATTTTTGGCTGCATGCTCAAAAGGCAGTCTGGCTTATATGAGAACCTGTAAGTGGGGTTGAGGTAGAAAGAGAATACCCTGAATGTTCAGCTTGGACTTTCCAGGGGCAACTTACCATTTTTTTTCTTCCATGGTACCCCACATCCACAGTGTCTGGGGATATTATTTCCTTTTTTCTTTTTTAGTTTTATCCCTAGATACTTTATTTATTTTATTAACATTTTTCCATTTATTTTACTTATCAACAACAGTTTCACCCCCTCTCCTCTCCCTCTATTCCTTCTCCCCCACCCCTCCCCATCCACTCCTCCTCCATCTCCTTCCAGAAAGGCACAGGCCTCCTATGGGCTTGAACAAAGCTTGGCACTTTGGGTTGGGGTAGAACCAAACTCCTCCCCCTGCATCAAGGCTGGGCAAGGAAATCCTGCACAGGGAACAGGTTCCCCAAAGCCAGCTAAGCACCAGGGATAGGTTCAGATCTCACTGCTAGGAGCCTCACAGACCAATCAACACAACTATTACACACATGCAGAGGGCTTAGGTCCATCCCATGCAGGCTGCCTAA